CGTTATCTCCCGAGGGGTCCCAGACTGCGAGAGGGCACAGGCCGGGCTGAGGGACCCCCCCCCCTCCCCCCTGAGTGCACAGATTTTTGTGCACTGGGCCTCTAGTTGTTAAATAAACAGATATATATAAATTTACATGCTTTTAAAAATGTACAGGGCCTGAAAACATTTTTAAATGCGTAGTCTTTATTATTAAAATGTAAAATGTGTTTTTTATGTCACTGCAATACAATAGAAGCAGAAACTAAAACAAGGGATTTCCTTTTTCATCTGTGACTGGACAAAGAGCCATTTTGTTCTCTTAAGTTTTTTAATAATGCCCCCCCTCCCATTTTTAAACAAAATCCTATATGCCACATAATCGGTCCCCAGAAATACTTACTTTAATGTCTGCTCCTCCACATTTTTTCTCTGCATATTCTAACTTATATAACCATATTTATACATTTTAAACAAAATAGGTTCATACTATTATACTTGATTTGCACCTTGGTTTTCTCACTGAATCTTTTTGGGCATCTTTTCATGTTAATACGCAACTACCTCAGTATTTTTTTTTAAGATATATTTTATTGATTTTTTTACAGAGAGGAAGGGAGAGGGATAGAGAATTAGAAACATTGATGACAGAGCAACATCGATCAGCTGCCTCCTGCATACCCCCTACTGCATACCCCCTTGACCGGAATCGAACCTGGGACCCTTCAGTCCGCAGGCCGATGCTCTATCCACTGAACCAAACTGGTTAGGACTACCTCAGTATTTTTAGTAGGTGTTTGTTATTCCTTTGTGGAGATTTGTGTCCATGTATGATTTGTTTCACTAATTTTCTGTTTCTGAACATTTGGCTATTACCATTTCTTAATATTATTAAAATGCTGCATAATACCCTTTATGCATTTGACCACTTTATACCCCATTTGGTGTAGAACATAGTTCTTAAATTTCAGTTGGTTTCTAAATTTCTCTGGTATCTAAGAGTTTTTGAAAAAAAAAAATGTGTTTACTCTAGGAAAAAATACACACACAAAAAAGTAAGAGTATCCTATAAGAATTCATGTTCTTAAATATGTATGAGAAGAGAGTACAAAATTCATCTATAGATGAACCATAATTTATATTAAACCATGGAAACTTGAATGCTTTTTCTAGTTTTTGTTTGTTTTATTATATAAACAAACATCTCTCCTTAAGTCTTTGTGAATATTCTTGGGAAAACTCAATGGATCTCTTAATCTAGTAGATGGAGTCTTCATTTTGGGCTTTCCCAGTCCCAGTTTTTTTATCACCTGAGATTCATCTTCCTCTTAGGGATCTAACTGATTTGTAGCCATCACTGTGCTGGTCTTAAGTACTTCCATATCATTCCAGTGTGAACACAGAATTGTCTCTTAGTTTTTTTTGTTGTTTGGTTTTTTGTTAATCCTCACCTGAGGATATTTTTCCATTGATTTTTTAGAGAGAGTGGAAGGAAAGTGGAGAGACAGAGAGTAACATCAATGTAAGAGAGACACATCAATTGGTTGCCTCCTACACACAGCCCGACGGGGGCCTGGGATGGAGCCTGCAATTGAGGTACATGCCCTTGACTGGAATCGAACCTGGAACCCTTCAGTCTGCGGGCCGACACTCTATCCACTGAGCCAAACTGGTCAGGGCTGTCCCTTAGTTTTTTAATAGCAAAGTTGAAAGTAGGCTGTAATGTTTAAACAAAACTTTATTAAAATCTGGTTAGTAATACAAAGGAATTACAACACATTGAGAAGCTTACAGCTGACTCCATTCCCAGAGGGTCTCTCCAGCCATGCTTCTCAGATTTGGAATATGTTGGCCAATATATCAGGATGAGGCAGAAACCCAAGGAAAATTGACTCATCTTCCCGAAATGTCATTATTAAGTAAAGATTTGGATTAGAAAGTTAAAACAAAAGGAGATAAATTATGTAAAATTCACTTGAAGAATAAGGATATAAATCACTTTATCATTGGAATGAAAAAAATACAATGTGTCAGTTACAAAAATTTTATAATTTACAACTCAGTGTAAATATTTAAAAATCAAAGCATTCTAAGGTATAATTTTTAGGTGTTAGGTCTTTTTTTGTTTTGTTTTGGGGTGATGTGGTACATGGAACTTGGAGTATGAATATATTTCTTACTCATCTATTAGAAGTGCTATAATGATCAGCACCTAATCTTTATTTCACTGTTTCCTTTTGTGTTTAAAAACTTAAATATTCTTTCCCCCAGGTTTGATTTTTGTCAAGCATCTGAAGGAAAACGCCCATCTGAAAATCTTGGTCAGGTGTTATTTGGAGAAAGAATTGAACCTTCACCATATAAGGTTTGTATTTAGTGTTATATGTTATTTAATTGAAATTTTTTCCTTACAGAAAATGTTGAGATAACTTGGCTCTCATAGCTAAAGAGGAATTAATTTCTCTTTTGCATACAGAAATAGTTTCTTGTGTTTTTTAAAAAAATATTTTTTATCGATTTCAGAGAGGAAGGGAGAGGGAGAGAGAGCTAGAAACATCAGTGATGAGAGATAGTTATTGATCGGCTATCTCCTGCATGCCCCCCACTAGAGGTTGAGCCTGCAACCCGGGCATGTGCCCTGACAGGAAATGGAACCATGACCTCCTGGTTCATAGGTTGACACTCAACAACAACCTCTGCCAGCCGGGCAGAAATACGTAGTTTCTTAAAGTTACAGTTTAGTAGGATCCCTCCCCTTCTCACGATATGTCATGGATAAGTTCGTCTTAACAAACACTCATACAACCAGTATTATAATGATAAAGTGGCAGCCTGAAGCACAGTGCTCAGACCCCTGCCTCACCTTACAGAGGGACCTGGAACCCAGCCTTCAGTCATGAAAAGTAGCCCTCAGCTGTTCCATATCTCCTTCCCCTCTTTGGGCGCAGTGTCCATAGACTTTCTCTATTAGCAAATATAGCAGGGCTTTGACTCCTTCATTGGGTTTTTGGGAAGCTAGCCTTTCTGTTTTGACCATTGAAAATATATTTGGAACATCTTTGATATATTTTTAGGACATCAGTTAAAACAATCTATGCACAATAAGATATTCTCTTCAAGATATGTACTCATCATCACTCAAAATTATTTTACCCTTTAAATCTAGTATCTTTTAAGTCTATTATCCTTCTATATTGCTCAGTCCTGTGTTCATTTTACATCTGCTCTCTTGCTGCACAAAAAATAATGGTCTCTCTTTTTTAGAAAAATTAAGCTAGTCTAATATAATAAAAGGGTAATATGCAAATTAACCGTCACTCTGACACAAAGATGGCGGCACCCATAGCAGCCGGGGCGGGACGACCGCGTCCTGTGTCCCGCCGCAGAGGGAGGGAGGGCTGCGGACACAACGTGGGGCTGCTGGGCTGGGGGCGTGCTACCGGCGGCCGCCGCACAGCTTGGGGCATGCCCCCAGCCCAGCGGACACAACGCAGGGGGGCCTCTGCGCATGAGCTGCAGAGGAAACACCTTTTCTGACTGCTCATTGGCTAAGCTCCCTGTATACCACCACTCGCAGTGTTCTTGGTAACTTGGGCAATAAGAATCTAAGAAGGTAATCTAGGGTTTTTCCACCTCACTCCTGGAGGAAAAAACGAAGGTCTGCTGCTGGAGGGGCTAAGAAATGTCATTTCCTGCGCTAGCCGGTTTGGCTCAGTGGATAGAGCCTCGGCCTGCAGACCGCAGGGTCTGGGTTTGATTCTGGTCAAGGGCATCAAGGGCATGTACCTAGGTTGCAGGCTCCTCCCTGGCCAGGGCCCAGGTCAGGGCTCATGCAGGAGGCAACCGATCAAAGTGTACCTCACATTGTTGTTTCTCTCTGTCTTTCCCTCTCTCTTCCAAGCTCTCTAAAAATCAATGGAAACATATCCTCAGGTGAGGATAAAAAAAAAAGAAAGAAAGAAATGTCATATCCTATGAAAGACACATCTTGAAAATGCCTAAAGAAAGTTGTCATTTTTTCGTGGTGAAGGGACTGGAGTCCGTGTTGATGAAAACACCTTGGCGGCTGCAGCAGTTGCAGCAGCAGTGGGGTGATGGGTCTGGCGCCTTCCCCTCATCAGCCCGGTCACCTCCCACAGAGGGAGGCCAGGCTGTGGCTAAGGCCCGCTCCCTATGGGGACATCCCCTGAGGACTCCCAGTCTGTGAGAGGGGGCAGCTGGGCTGAGCAAAAAAAACACCCAGTGCACGAATTTCGTGCACCAGGCCTCTAGTTTGTAATAATAATGTATCACAATATAAGAGCAATAGTACAGAAGAATATAAAATGAAGACTAAGTCTCTTCCTTCTAGTTTCACATCAGTTTCTTGGTTAATCTTTCCTGACATTTTCCACACACTTACAAGCATATATAAATAAAGTTAGATGTGTTTTAACATATTCTTCACAGTGCATTTTTCCTTTAACTCTCTATCTTGGTCATCTGTTCACATAGAGCACTCCTTTTATTTTTTATTTAACTAGTGACCCAGTGCACGTACTTATGTACATTGAAAAATTAGAAGAAATATTTTAATATCGCTATTCGCCCTTTCTCTATAATAGAAGTGTCAACCAAATTCATGATCGACAATGACAAATTGAAACACACATGTACAATTGGCACCATGTATTGCGCATGAGTGAGTCAACTTATCCTTTTATAGATATAGAACAAACTTGCTTAATTAGACCGCTTTCTGATTTAGCTAAGCTTTTTTCAGCCCAATGAAACACCCCAACTTCTATTTAAGGTAATCGTCAGCAACACAGCAGTAAATATCAACATGAAGCAGATTATTATTATAGATCACACAGGGAGAACAAAGGATAAAATATTTAACTGTAGCAGTGTTTGACTATATTCTGCGCAGTGAGAAAACCTGAAGTCATTTTTAAGTTCCACCATTTCTTCTTTTCAGTCGGGGCAAGTTTCTAAACTTTCTAAATCTCTGTTTTCCGGCTAATGAAAAGAAAATAGGATTCTAGCGAGTCTCGTATCTACCTACTCCAGGATTTCTGTGAAGATCAAATGAGATGAGGCACAGGAAAACGCTTCACAAACATTTGGTTACAGTGTGAAATGTTTGCACCTGGCTATAAAGCAAGCTGTGTTCCTGGGCTGAAGAAACTGCAAGGAGGCCAGTCGCAGGGAGAGCAAGTTGGGCGTTGCTACGTGACATCATTACCGGATGCCCACAGCCAGATGCCCACAGCCACCGTTTCTGGGCTGGGCTGGGCTGGGCTGGGCTGTGGGACGCATTTTGCACCATGGGGGTCTTGGCAGTTTTGGCTGCGATTTGGTGGGCTGTTGCTCCGGGATGGTGGCGGGGCCTGTGTCCCACTTGGGGGAAGCCGAGTGCTTCTTTGTGGACACCAGGTCCGCGGTGCTGTTTCACTGTAAATGGCCAGTGCGTGTCATGGCAGCTCCTGCATTGAGCGTCTGCCCCCTGGTGGTCAGTACGTGTCACAGTGAAATAGGAATTTTGGGGGGTGAAAAAGACAGGTTTAGGAAATTTTAGAAATTAAGGGGACCATGGAAAAAGCACAGGGCTGCAGAGCAGCAGAAGGTATATTTCCATAGAATAGGAAAGCTGAAAAGCTGCAACAGGTACATTTCCATAGAATGAGGGAGCTGGGAATAGCAGGTCTATATTTACAAAATAAAGGGAAGGAAGCCCCTCATCCAAAAGGAGGAGAAAGCCCGAAAGGAATAAGAAAACAATAAGGAAGGAAGGAAGGAAAACCTCACACATCCCATGTGAAGTACACCTTTGAGCTCAGGAGTTCTATAGGAACCAGTCTAAGGGAATAGTGACCAATCAGAGGGGATATCAAGGCACAAAGATAGACAGCTTTTATAAGCTGTAGGAAAAAGGAACTCGGGGACTCTTTCCCCCTCCCCACGTGTGAGTCTGTGCTGTGAGATTCTTTCCCTTTCTCCACGTGGGAGTCTGTATTTGTTCTTCAATAAATTTTCACATTTGCTATACCACCTTCAGTCCGTGGATTCATTCTTTGACTCCATCGGACAAAGAGCCCAGGAACCAGTCTGCCCAGGGGAACACCATGTGTTCCAGTCCAAAAATTCCGTTTCATTAGCAGCTGGTCGGATGGTTCGACACTTAGCATATTAGCCTTTTAGGTAGATAGATTTAAAAATATATATATGTTCTCATTGATTTTTAGAGAGAGAAGAAGGGAGAGGGAGATAGAAACATCAATGAGAGAGAAACATTGACCAGCTGCCTCCTACATGCCCCCTGCCTGGGACCGAGCCTGCAACCCAGGCAGGTGACCTGATCAGGAATCAAACTAATGACCGATTGGTTCATGGATCGACACTCAACCACTGAGCCACACCCAATCAGGCTGAGCACTCATTTTAATGGCTCGACCCCAAGTTTTATTCTCCAGCCTGACAGCTCCATCTCTTGGCTTCATATTCTTCTCTTCTATGGCTTATACCCAATGGTTAGCTGCCTTCCCTACTTTCTCACTAAGCACCCTCATATCTCCCTTGGCACTTCATTACCTGAGCATCTCTCTGTCCAGCAAATCCCCAAGCCTTGATTAGTCCCACTAGCCCTCTCACTCCCTTTAAGCTCTATACCTATACCTGAAGCTCTGGGAGAAAAGACACATAATTGTGCACGCTTAATTCACAAGTTTTTTGTAGTTTTCAACCATTAGTCTGTCCTCTTAAAATAATCTAATTGGAGATTTTTCTACCCTAAAGATGCCAGTAATTTAAAAAATTTTTAAAACACAATAGATTTGAAGATCTAATGGAATGAAGTCATTGGGAAAGGAGGAGCTCAAAGTGTGTGGACATGAGTTGTATTGAGTAAGGCAAGCATCTTAATTGTGTAATATCTCCCCAAGGTGATATTTTAAAAGATTACTTTAGAAGTTATTACATTCCGTTTTGTAGCATAGGTAATTTTCAGGCATATTTATTAAATTGTGCAATGAGCCGAAACCGGTTTGGCTCAGTGGATAGAGCGTCGGCCTGCGGACTCAAGGGTCCCGGGTTCGATTCCGGTCAAGGGCATGTACCTGGGTTGTGGGCACATCCCCAGTGGGAGATGTGCAGGAGGCAGCTGATCGATGTTTCTCTCACATCGATGTTTCTAGCTCTCTATCTCTCTCCCTTCCTCTCTGTAAAAAAATCAATAAAATATATTTAAAAAAAAAAAATTGTGCAATGAGCCCTGGCAGGTTTGGCTCAGTAGATAGAGTGTCAGCCCGAGGACTGAAGTGTCTCAGGTTCAATTCTGGTCAAGGGCATGTGCCTCTGTTGCAGGTTTTATCCCTGGCCCTGGTCGAGGTATATGCGAGAGGCAGCCGCACATCAGTGCTTCTCACTGTGTCTCTCCCCCTCCCGCTCTCTCTAAAAATCAATGAAAAAACATCCTTGGGTGTGGATTAACAAAACAAAATTGTGCAGTGAACTTAAAATACTCCTATGTACTCCTATGGTCTCTCAGACCTAGCTTTCTGTTTATCTCTTGGCCTTCAGAAATGATGGGAAGGGGAAAGAACATTAGTAACACCTTCACTGAACTTAGGTGACAGCAAGAGTCTCTAGTAGTAAAGAGCCTTTAACAGCAGTAAACAGGAAAGAGCAGCAAAATATTCAAACCCATGGAGAAGTTTTATCCCTTTTTGGGGCAGACTCTCCCTTCTTCCCCCCCCTCCCCCCATTACTTCCTTAGTAGGATTCCCCTCAGGGTATATTTATTTATGTGTTAAGACCATGCCTTGCTCATGCAAAAGACCCTTCTTTTAGGCCTGGTGCTAAGAGATCAGATTTTTTTTTAAGTGTAGTTTTTAAAAAAATATATATTTTTATTGATTTCAGAGAGGAAGGGAGAGAGAGATAGAAACATCAATGATGAGATTGAATCATTGATCGGCTATCTCCTGTATGACCCCTGCTGGGGATTGAGACCTCAACCCAGGCATGTGCCCTGACCAGGAATCAAACCGGGAACCTCTTGTTTCATGGGTTAATGCTCAGCCACTGAGCCACACCTGCCAGACAAGAGATCAGTTTTTTTCAAGCCAGCCATAAATGTATTGAACTATATTTTTCAGTATTGATTTCAATATTGATTCTTTGTCCTTTATTTTCAAAGAATTTAGCTTTATATTAAATCTACAGTAAAAGAAATGTTAACGAACAGCAACAAAACAAAACCCCAAATCTGTTTGCCATTTTTTACCTATGATTTTAGTGGCGGTCAGAAGAACAGCAGTATATAACACTGTGTGTGTTATGTGAAGCTGGAGCCACACTTCATAGGATCATAAACTCACAAGTCTCACCATTCATATTCACTTATTCACTAGTTAACACACCTGTTGAATGCCTTTCATGTGCCAGGTACTGTGGTAGGTGTGAGATATTGCAATGAACAAGACGAAAATCTCTGTCCTGGTGGATCTTATATTTTGATGGTGAAAAGGAGGAAACAAAATGATTACTAAAATATATAATAACATATAGTGTATAAATTGTTCATGTATAAGCTATTGAAAACAAATCAGAGAAAGTAGTTCGAGAATTTGTAATTTTAAACAGGACAGGGAAAGTCTCACTAAGAAGGTGACATTTGAGCAAAAGACCTGAGGCAAGTAGGGGAGTGAACCATGTGAATATCTGACGGGAAGATGTTTTAGGTAAAGAGAGGAGCAAATGAAATGGTCCCAAGATGTGTGCTTGCCTGGTGTATTCAAGGTACAGAAAAAAGTTGGTGCAACTCGAGCAGGTGAGCAAGATAGAGAATAGGATATGACAGCAAAGAAGTAACAGGACCACATTATATAGTGACTGATAGGCCACTGTAAAGACTTTGGCTCTACATCTGAGTGAGCTGGTTAGCATTGGAGAGTTTTGAGTCAGCTTAGATTCAACGAGATCGCTAGGGTTGCTGTGCTGAGAATGGACCGTGGGAGGGGAGAGAAGAAGCCAAGAGACCCCTAGAACTCTTGCAGTCATTAAGATATATATGACCTGATAATGGCTCAGACTATGGAGGTACAGGGAGAAGGGTTATATGATGATCAGAATCTCAGAAACTGGCTATATTTTGAAGGTTAGGCCCTCAGAATTTGCTGAGGGATGTGATGTGGGGTATGGATGGGAATGTCTGTGGAAAGAGCAGGTTTGGGGGGAATGAGGAAGAGTTAGTTTTGGACATGGTAAGTAGGGATGTTGACAGTTGAATATATGTGTCTGGATTTTGGAGGAGGGGGTTCAGGCTAGTATATATATTTGAGAATCATCAGTGTATAGATGGTATTTAAAACCAGGACTTGATAAAATTTCCAAGAGAGTAGGTATAGATAGTGAAGAGAAGAATCCCAATGACTGAGCTTCAGGGCACTTCGTGTTGATGGATCAGGATGATGAGGATTTAGTAAGGAGACTTCCTTTTAGAATTGTTGGATTACATGAGGTAATAAGTGTTTATTATTACGATTAAATGTCATTTTCAGGTATGCTGTTTTCTTTCACAATTGAACACACAATTGACTTGCCTAAATCCAGTGAGCATTGGATTGAGGTGTAAGTTTTGCCACTTTTCATGTAACGTCTATTTCTGCTTAATTTAAGTATGATACCTATTTCTCTAATCCTTTAGTTGTTTTTAAACCTCCACCCTTTAAAAAGAAACTAAAGGTTTATATAATGTTAAAAATATTAAATAATTGCATAAATATTGCTGTACTTAGAGAAATGGCAATGCCTCCAGAGCGAAACTCTTGGCTGACAGGTGGCAGCAGCGGGCCACATTTGGAACATTCATTTGTCAGCAGATGCACAGAAACTGGTTTAGGCATTTTAATAAATGATGTACAAAAGGATGGACTACTTAGAAGTGAAACATGTGCAGGTGTTTTTTGAAGTCAAATTTATTAAAAGGTATACAATTAGGGGCTATATATATGTAATTTAGTAAATTACAGCCTTAGAATACCAGGAAGTATATTTTTAAAAAAAATTAAGACATAAATAATGTCTTGATAAAATAAACCTATATTTTATAATGTGTTGTGAGTGTCATTATTTTTACACACATGAAATAAATTCTAGACCCCCAAATTGGAGGAATCTTTGGTTTTTAAACTTTGGTTTAAAAATTATTGATTTTTTCAACCTTACTATTTGTTTCAGTTTTATTATTAAATAAGATCCTGAAAGTTGACAATTTCAAATGTGAGTAAAAAAAATCATGTTTACCCTGATTTTAGACATCCAAATGTAACTTGTAACATCACAGTCCATGTTATTCACTGCTGAATCTCCATTACCCAGCTACAAGGGGGGTAACAAACATCCATTAAATGAATATAGGGACATAAACACTTGTCTGCTTGTTACTAGAAAGCCTTCAAATCCGTAATTTCCAAAACATTGTCAGGAGACATTACTCTGGAGAGACTGATGTTCATTTTCTTCTACATGTAGTTTGTTTGTTTGTTTATTTCATTTTGTTTGTTTGTTTTTTGCCTTCTAGGACTTGTTTATATTTAGAAGGTGGATTGATTGAAGTGATCAAAACTAAAAATAAAAACTGTTACTTATCAAAATAAAGAGGAAAAGAGAGGGGGTGAGGGAGAGAAACATCAGTGATGAGAGAATCATTGATTGGTTGCCTCTTGCACTTGCCACACTGGAGATCGAGCCTACAACTAGGCATGGGAATCGAACCATGACCTCCTGGCTCATAGGTCGACATTCAACCATTGAGCCATGCCGGCCGGGCTTATTTTTTCTAATTTTTAAAAAATGTTAATTGAATTTATTGGAGTGAAATTGGTTAGATGATAAGTTTTGGAAAAACAGTAAGAGTGACTTTAAATCTGATTGAGCTATGACAAATTTTAAAATGTTTGTTATCAATATATTAATGCACTTAAGTAATGAGACTAGTACTTTATGATATAGGTGTGAAGGATCTGGCTATTTTTACTTAATTTGCTTTCCATTTTATTTTAATACAGTTTACATTTAATAAGAAGGAGACCTGTAAGCTTGTTTGTACAAAAACATACCATACAGAGAAAGCTGAAGACAAACAAAAGTTAGAATTCTTGAAAAAAAGCATGCTACTGAATTATCAACATCACTGGTAAGACATGGAGATTTTGGACTTTTGACTTTTTCCTTTTCAAGATGAATTTGTTTCACTGAATGTGTAAATTACTTTGTTGACTCTATAAAATATAGCAAATTAATTGATTTCCTTTTTTTATTATTAGTATTAACATGAAGTAGTGACTTTTTCTTGCAAGAGGATTGCTGAGGTTGACAGCTTAGTGTATTACCTTTTGTGCTTAGATCACTTTTATATCTAGTACTTGTTTTGGTACATAGAGCACTTCTTTTATTCATGTACTAGAGGCCTGATGCATGAAATTTATGCAAGAGTAGGCCTTCTTTCCCCTGGCTGCAGGCACCAGCTTCCCTCTGGCACCCGGGACCCAGGCTTCCCTTGCAGCCCCGGCTTCATCTGGAAGGTCATCTAGAAGGTTGTCTAGAAGGACATCTGGTCTAATTAGTACATTACGCTTTTATTATTATAGACTAGAGGCCTGGTGCATAAAAATCGTGCATGGGGTGGAGGGGACCCTCAGCCCGGCCTACACCCTCTCGCAATCTGGGACCCGTGGGGGATGTCTGACTCCTGGGTTAGGCTCGATCCCGCATCGGGTCTAAACCTGCAGTCGGACATCCCTCTCGCAATCCGGGAGCATTGGCTCCTAAGTTCCTGCCTGCCTGCCTGATCGCCCCTAACTGCTCACCTGCCTGCCTGATCTCCCCTAACCGCCTCTGCCTGTCTGCCTGTCTGATCGCCCCTAACCACTCTCCTGATTGCCCCTAACCACTCGCCTGCCTGCCTGATGGCCCCTAACCACTCGCCTGCCTGCCTGATTGCCCCTGACCACTCACCTGCCTGCCTGATCGCCCCTAACCGCCCCTGCCTCGGCCCCCACTGCTGCGGCTTCGTCCGGAATGACGTTGGAAGGTCATTCAGTTGTCCAGTCCAATTAGCAAATTATGCTTTTATTATTATAGATAGTTAATAGGAACATCTTTATGCTTTGGGGAAAGTACCCTGGTCAGTCTTCTAGGAAAATACTGTTATTTTATGCTTGTACAGCATGAAAAAGACCATTGAAAAACAAAATTTAACTTCTGTTTGATATTTGATAAATAACATCTACTTCAAATAAAATACTTCTATTTTATGTAACCTGTTTTTTATTTTATAAACATTAACAAGGTTTTTACCAGTTTGTATTGTAATAAAAAAGCATTTAAAAAGCTTTTCTTCTAAAGTAGTATTTACTTACCAAACTATCAAAATCCAATTTTAAGTATAACTATTGTTATTCTTCTAGATCAGGATTGGGGGACCATTTTTCTGCCAAGGGCCGTTTGAATATTTATAACATCATTCTTGGCCCATACAAAATTATCAACTTAAAAATTAGCCTGCTTATGTTTGGTCAAGCATTTAATTAACTCATCCCTAATGCCTTGGCAGGGCCAGACCAAATGATTTTGCAGGCCTTATATGGCCAGAGAGTCGGACATTCCCCACCCCTGTTCTAGTTTGCCAACAGATGTCTATATTATTGTATGTGCGTTCATGGTTTACATGTTTTGCCTCTTCTAAAAAGGATAGCCCAGGCAGCGTGGCTCAGTGGTTGAGCGTGGACCTATGAACCAGTAGGTTGCAGTTCGATTCCTGGTCAGGGCACATGCCTAGGTTGTGGGCTCAATCCCCAGTGTGGGTCCTGCTGGAGGCAGCTGATCAATGATTCTCTCTCATCACTGATATTTCTATCTCTCTCTCCCTCTCCTTTCCTCTCTGAAATCAATAAAAATGTATTTTTTTAAAGTATAATGTGGTGGAGGTGGTGAACATGATGACTATCTTCATGCACTTCCTCTTGAATGTTTGTCCTATCAGTATCTCAGATTGACCCATTTGTCTACACCAGTGATGGTGAACCTTTTGAGCTCGGCGTGTCAGCATTTTGAAAAACCCTAACTTAACTCTGGTGCCATGTCACATATAGAAATTTTTTGATATTTGCAACCACAGTAAAACAAAGACTTATATTTTTGATATTTATTTTATATATTTAAATGCCATTTAACAAAGAAAAATCAACCAAAAAAATGAGTTCGTGTGTCACCTCTGACACGCGTGTCATAGGTTCGCCATCACTGGTCTACACCCAGGGAGGTTAGGATCCATTGACCTCAGTTTGGACATGACCAGATCCTGTGGCTCAAATAATATCGTTGGAGCCACTCATTCCGTCTTGCCCTTCCAGTTCTTTTCCATCTTCCCTTTCATATACGTAGAACAGAAAAGTCATAGGGAGGGGCAACCTTGGGTCACATGTCTATTCATGTACTAGTCTGTGATTAGGGGGATTCCTTCTGTTAGAAGGAAGGAAATTTGCACATTGTACTTGTGTCAGATTCATTCTCATCTGAACCTTAGTGTAAACAGGAACTTGAAAGTCTCCTCTGTCTCCTCATTTCTTTGGTCTCTGGTAAGCCAAGAGCTTTTTTCCTCTAAGCTAAGGTGAGACTCTTACTTAATTGCTGAATTAATGCAACTTGGAGTACATTTGTTTATTCGTTCATAAGTAATTGAAATTTCCCTAGTGTTTTCTCTTTGCTTCAAATTGTTCTTTACAACATTCAAAATTCTATTTAAGGCTCAGTTCTTAACGTTTATGTGTTAGCCCCATTCACCTCTGTTTTCTCCAAAGCTGCTCATTTATTGATCAAATGAAAGAATGACTCTTAAGGTGATTTTTAGCTATCTCTTCTATCCTCTGTTCTTAAAATACTGTCTAGATAGAGTCTTGCTCCTAAAGGTAATAGAAGCAGCTCTTCAGTAACTTTCTCAGTAGTGTATTTAGAAATATTTTTAACTAATTTATGATGCAGTTAACATAGGTACTATTTTGATGCCAGGATGCTTAATAACAAGAAGAATAAATAACTTAAAATAGTTTACAAAGTTAGAAAACATTTGTAGTACAGTTTATTAAACAATTTGTGATAGCTGTATCAGTTGCAAAGTTAAACTATTCTGCCTGGAAAAAAAAAAACACGAAAAGTGCTGATGAATAATGATTTTGTAGCTGTATCTGAAAAGTTTATGATTTTAAGTCTGAATCCATTAACAAAAAAATCTAATCCATATCACAATAATAATTTAGGCAGTGGGCTTTAGTCCTTAAATCAGTTCATTACGTACTTGGAAATGTTAATTCACTTTGATGAATTTATTTGAACTATAGGTTGAGTATATTTCTGTCCTTGACTTACTTCAGAAAGTTTGTACTGTGTAATTTGATTTTGAGCATAGATTACAGAATTGAAAGAGATAAAAAAGCATGAGCCTTTAAAATCTGAAAGACTTAAAAAAGTACAGTGTTCTATTATGGAATTTTATTGTGAATGCAGCACATCTTGTTAACCTTTGCACTGAGACATTTTGGGAAGAGCATAATCATTTTCTAAATTATAAAGCTATAAATACATGTCTGTGAAAAAACATAAACAGTACAGAAAAATTCTATGTAATAAAAGGCTAATATGTGTATCAACTGAACAGTGGAACGAATGGTCGCTATGATGCGCACTCACCACCAGGGGACAGATGCTCAACGCAGGAGCTGCCCCCTGATGGTCAGTGCGCTCCCACAGGGGGAGTGCCGCTCAGCCAGAATCAGGGCTCATGCTGGAGAGCCCAGCGGCGGTGGTGGGAGCCTCTCTCACCTCCGTGGCAGCACTAAGGACCCTTGGGGTCCCAGACTGTGAGAGGGCACAGGCTGGGCTGAGGGGACCTGCCCCCCATTACACGAATGTCATGCACCAGGCCTCTAGTCCTATCTAATAATAGACAAAGATGGTAATTGACCGTACCTTCGCTACACCTCCCATTGGCTAATCAGCGTGATATGCAAGTTAGCCGCCAACAAAGATGGCAGCTAATTTGCATACTGCGGGCAGACCCCCAGCGGACACACACACACACGCACACACACACACACACACCCCTCCTGCTCCGAGCCTCTGCTGCCAGACTGTGGCCGTCAGTAGGACATCCACTGAGGGCTCCCAGACTGAGGGGCATGCTGGGCTAAGGGAACCCCACTCTCCAGTGCACGAATTTCGTGCACCGGGCCTCTAGTATTAAACTGATAAGAACAGATACTACACTTGATCTTAGCCAAAAGGCCGAGAAGCGATGGGCCTCTAGTATTAAATAAAAAGTAAGAGTCTTCTATCACTCAGCTTCTTTAATTATGTTCTGCAGTGGTAGCACTATTATTTCTTATGTATGCTTCCAGGTTTTCTATACATATGCAGGTATATGAAAGGGTGTGTACATTTTAAAAATAACACAACTAAAATATTGTACACATTATTTTGTAATTTGCTCATTTCATTTAAGAAAATATGGGCATTTTTCCATGTAAAACACATCTGTGGATCTGTATCTACCTCATTCTTGTCATAGTTGTATAGCATTCCATGACACGAATGAACCATTCTTTTCTCCCACAACATTTTAACCATATTGTCTTGTTTGTTTTTATTAATCCTCACCTGAGGATATTTTTTCCATTGATTTTTAGACAGAGTGGAAGGGAGGAGGAGAGACAGAGATAGTGTTTTGATACTAGCACAAGACACTTGAACTCCTTTCAGCTATATTCTACTTGATTTGTAATTATACTTCTTGCCTAAGTTTCCAACACTTTTTGACATTTATTTATAAAAGTATAATTCTTTAACTAGCTATCAGAGTCCTTAAGTCTTCTTAGTATCATAGAACCACTGCACTGTAGCTTCTTTGACAGAAAAGAGTCTTTGAAGATTTTTAGTCTAGTGAATTTCAATCCTGGAATCCACCAAGCTAGCAAAGGAGAATCATGTGCTATTTTTACACTTTAAAAACCTAATGAGTAAAGTAAATTTACTCATGTTAGAACCACATAGAATAAATTAGATGCCAACTTTCTTTGCTTTTGGTTGCAATTTTCTGAATGTATTTTAGCAACATGGGTTATTTCATTCTCAGAAATTCTGAGAATTTAATTATTTAGAAAAATGAGTTATTGATAAATGAAGTTTGATTTATAGAAGTATTTCAAATGGAATCCATGGAGGATAGAGGGAAATAATGGTAAGGAGTCCTTAATGGTAAAATAATTGTACCAGTTATTCAACCTTTCTCCTCTTGAGTCCTTTCCTTATTCTCTTTTTCACTATGAGATTAAAAATATGATATTAATATTTTTTTGTTTCATAAATTCAAATAACTACTACTCCCTAACTTAGCAAGGAAGGCAGTAATTGAAAATGATACTCTTTAAATTTTTTACATTTATTTCCAAGGGTTAGTTGTGTGTTGTTTTTTTTTTAATGCTTCCTATTACCAGGGAAAGGTTTATTGTGTCAGGTCATTAGATAAATGATTAATATAGGATGTTTGCTTTTTTTTTTTAATGTATTTTTTATTGTTTTTTTTTTTAATTTTAATTTTTTTTTTTTTGCTAAAAGTATTACAAAGGGTATTACATATGTGTCCTTTTTTCCCCCCCGCCCTTGACAATCCCCTGCCCTCCCTTACCCCCCAGTGTCTTATGTCCATTAGTTATGCTTATATGCATGCATACAGGTCCTTCGGTTGATCTCTTACTCCCCTCCCTTCTGCCCCCCAACCCTCTCTGGCCTTCCCACTGCAGTTTGACAATCAGTTTGAGGCAGCTCTGCCTCTGTATCTATTATTGTTCAAAAGTTTGTAATGGTCTTTATTATCCATGAATGAGTGAGATCATGTGGTATTTTTCCTTCATTGACTGGCTTATTTCACTTAGCATAATGCTCTCCAGCTCCATCCATGCCGTTGCAAATTGTAAGAGTTCCTTCTTTTTTACAGCAGCATAGTATTCCATCGTGTAGATGTACCACAGTTTTCTAATCCATTCATCTACTGATGGGCACTTAGGCTGTTTCCAGATCTTAGCTATGGTGAATTGTGCTGCTATGAACATATGGGTGCATATATCCTTTCTGATTGGTGTTTCTGGTTTCTTGGGATATATTCCTAGAAGTGGGATCACAGGGTCAAATGGGAGTTCCATTTCCAGTTTTTTGAGGAAACTCCATACTGTCTTCCATAGTGGCTGCACCAGTCTGCATTCCCACCAGCAGTGCACAAGTGTTCCTTTTTCTCCACATCCTCTCCAGCACTTGTCGTTTGTTGATTTGTTGATGATAGCCATTCTGACAGGTGTGAGATGGTACCTCATTGTTGTTTTGATTTGCATCTCTCGGATGATTAGTGACTTTGAGCATGTTTTCATATGTCTCTTGGCTTTCTGAATGTCCTCTTTTGAAAGGTGTCTATTTAGATCCTTTGCCCATTTTTTGATTGGATTGTTTATCTTCTTTTTGTTAAGTTGTATGAGTTCCCTATAAATTTTGGAGATTAGGCCCTTATCAGATATGACGTTGGCAAATATGTTTTCCCATGCAGTGGGTTTTCTTGTTGTTTTGTTGATGGTTTCTTTTGCTGTGCAGAAGCTTTTTATTTTGATGTAGTCCCATTTGTTCATTTTCTCTTTAGTTTCAACTGCCCTAGGAGCTGTATCAGTGAAGAAATTGCTTTGGCATATGTCTGAGATTTTGTTGCCTTTGGATTCTTCTAGAATTTTTATGGTTTCCTGTCGTACATTTAAGTCCTTTATCCATTTTGAGTTTATTTTTGTGTATGGTGTAAGTTGGTGGTCTAGTTTCATTTTCTTGCATATATCTGTCCAATTTTCCCAACACCATTTATTGAAGAGACTATCTTGGCTCCATTGTATGTTCTTGCCTCCTTTGTCAAATATTAATTGAGCATATTGGTTCGGGCTAATTTCTGGACACTCTATTCTATTCCACTGATCATTGATTGAACTTCATCCTCTAAAAAATTAAGGCAATTAACTGATTATTTAGGCCTTCAGAAAAATCTGAATTATTTATGTTATAAGCATTGCTTTCATGCTTCTAATATTTTATAGTGTGTTGTTTTTTTTTGTTTCGTTTTTTTCATGGAAACCACTAGCCTGCTGGTTATAATAATAAGCAACTTAATAGTATAGGTGATTCTAAAACTTGGTACATTGGGTACTATTAAATAGCATTTAAATGTGACCAGACATGTTTTATTAGATCATTAATGTTCACCTTGGGGGACATATAAAATCATAATTTTACTTCCTAAGGCATACATTAATTAACAAATAAAACATGCCCTGGAGTGTTGTCTTATGACTGTAATACAGCTAGTATATTTTCAGTAATTTTTTTTATTTGTATCCTGCAGTGTGCTCTGGGCATAGGGGACCACATACTCGGACTTTAATGTAGTTAGTTACACAATGCTACAGAACTTTATTCTTTATTTTTATCCTTTTTTGTTTAAAAAGTTCTTTTTCACTATAGAACTTGAAAGATCTCTTTCTGTAGCTTTATCGCAGCATTTCTTTTAGACATAAGTTGGATTTACACAGTTTTAGAAATACTATATTTTTCACTTTTCCACCTGGCCCTTAAGTTAAATATTTTCCTATATCTTGCAATTATATTCTTTTCCTTTTTTTTTTTTTTTTTTAATTAAATCTTTATTGTTCAGGTTACATTTGTTCCTCTTTTTTTCCCCCCCCATAACTCCCCTCCTCCCAGTTCCCACCCCACCCTCCGCCCTCACTCCCCACCCACTGTCCTCATCCATAGGTGCACGA